AATCTCCCTCAGCAGATTCCCTCTTATAACTCCTATTCTCTAACATCTTCAATCTCTCCCTGTCTCCCCCTCAGTCTGTGGCCTGGAAACTCAGGTTGATTCTTTACTGCCTACAAACATGTCCATTCTCTTTTTCTTAAAGTTTTTAAAAATAAATTTTGATATATATTTTTTCTTCACCAATATTTCCCAATGTATCCCTATACATTCAATCTGCCAGAGGCTGCTTGTAGTATTTTTTCCTTGATCTGGGAACTCTGGAATTTGGCTATAATATTCCTAGGAGTTTTCCTTTGGGGATCTCTTTCAGGAGGAGATTGGTGGATTCTTTCAATTTCTATTTTGCCCTCTGGTTCTAAAATATCAGGGCAGTTTTCCTTGATAATTTCTTGAAAGATGATGTCTAGGCTCTTTTTTTGATCGTGGTTTTCAGATAGTTTAATAATTTTTGAATTCTCTCTCCTGGATCTATTTTCCAGGTCAGTTGTTTTTCCAATGAGATATTTCACACTTTTCTATTTTTTTCATTCTTTTGGATTTGTTTTACAGTGTCTTGATTTCTCATAAAGTCACTAGCTTCCAATTGTTCCATTCTAATTTTTAAGGAAGTATTTTCTTCAGTAAGCTTTTGGACTTCTTTTTTCATTTGGTCAATTTTGCTTTTTGGGCATTCTTATCCTCATTGGCTTTTTGGACCTCTTTTGCCATTTGGGTTAGGCTATTTTTTAAGGTGTTATTTTCTTCAGTATTTTTTTGGGTCTCCTTTAGCAAGTTGTTGACTTGTTTTTCACGATTTTCTTGTGTCACTCTCAGTTTTTCCTCTACTTCTCTTATTTGCTTCACAAAATCCTTTTTGAGCTCTTCCATGGCCTGGGACCAATTCATCTTTTCTTGGAGGCTTTGGATGTAGGAGCTTTGACTTTGTTGTATTCTACCGGTTGTATGTTTTGATCTTCTTTGTCACCAAAGTAAGATTCTATATTCTGACTCTTTTTGTGCTGCTTACTCATGATCCCAGACAATTACTTGAGTTATAAACTGTTTGTTAAGGTAGAGGTCTGTTTCCAGTGTGGAGTATGTACTGTCCCAAGCTTTGGGGGTTTTGTGTAGCTGTTTTCAGAGATAATTCTAGGGACCTGTAAATTTTCAGTTCTTCCAAGGTGCTATGATCAAGGGTGAGGTGTTTACTCCTTTCTTGGCCTGTGCTCTGGTCTGTGAGTGACCACAATCACTTTTTTCTGTCTTGGAACTCTGAGGAGCATTTCCTCTCCACTGCCACTACAAGCTTCACCATGCCAGTGCTCCTCCTCACTCTAGGACCAACACCTAGAACTGTGACCCTGATCCAAGCACGGGCAAAGCAAGAGAATCCTGCACCAGCAAAGAGATCTCTGAAGTCCCCCTCTGATCAGCCACTTGATTCCCCCTCAGTCTGTGGCCTGGAAGCTCAGGAAGCAACTGCTGCCCTGGGGCCAGGTTTGAGGACTGGAGCTGAGACCACCACACTTCTCTCTCTCACCACAGACACAGACTTTTCCCACTGACCTTCCAAGTTGTCTTTGGCATTTGTGAGTTGAGTGTTCTGGAAACCACCACATCTACCTGCAATTCAGTCTTCTGGTGCTTGCTCCAGGTTCGCTGAGGCCTGCGTGCCCATGCAGAACTGTGCTCGTCTCTCAGCCTGGTGCAATATATCTTTCTGATCATCTATCCAGGTTGTTTTGGGCTGGAAATTTGTTTCACTCTGTCTTTTTGTGGGTTCTGCTGCTTTAGAATTTGTTTAGAGCCATTTTTTATAGGTATTTGGAGGAGTTTGGGGAGAGAGCTCAAGCAAGTCACTGCTTTTACTCTGCCATCTTGGCTCCACCCCTCCAGAATCATCTCCTCCATTCTCACAAAAACCCTTATTTGATCTGCCCATCTCTGCTAGTTGTTATCCAAAATCTCTCCTTTTTTTTTGTGGTTACAGTAACTCCACTCTTTTTCTTCTCATTCTCCTCTTAACTCTACATTCTGGCTTGATCCTCATCATTCAGCTGAAACTATTCTTTCCAAAGCTCTTAATGATGTTTTAACTGCCAACTATAATGGATTTTTCTCAATCCTTATCATTTTTTAAATTCTCTATTCAACCTCTGACATTGATGATCACCTTCTTCTCCTTGATACTCTCTTCCCTCTAGGTTTTCATGATACTGTTTTCTTTCAGTTTTCTCCTGTCTAATTGCTTCTTCTCTATCTCTTTTGCTGGATTTTCATGAAGATCCCCCTTCCTGCCCATGACCTGAGGGGGTCCCAATGCTTTTTTTAGGCCTTTTCTTTTTACTTCCTATACTGTTTCACTTGGTGATCTCACCAGCTTCCATAACATAAATGATCATATCTAGGCAGTTGACTCTCATATCTACTTGAATAGCTCTAAAAAACTTGGTGTCTTGACTGTGAATATTCAGGCATGACTTCCACATCAATAATGAGTTATTTCCTGTAAATCAAAATATGATCAATTTCTCTCTGTGTGTGTGCTTAGGTGGGCTTGTGTGTGTGCAGATTATATTATCCAGTGCTTCCCAATATTTTTCTGAGAGAACATATCCATCATATATAGTTATGAGGATTCTATATACTCTACTAGTCCTTGACCGGTTCTTATTTTTCCAGTTTTATAATTGCTTTATCTGAGATTGAGATTGCCACTCCTGCTTTTTTTACATTCTGTTGAAACACCAGAAAATCTATTTTAGCTCATTAATTTAATTCTGAATGAAGGCTTACATCAGTCAATAGTCAATAAACATTTGTTAAAGTCTACTATGTGCCAGGTACTGTGCTAAGTAGCAAAGACACACAAAGTGTGTAAAAGACAGCTCCTTGGGGAGACAATATGCAAGTAAGTATGCACAAAGAAGCTCTATACAGAATAAATAGGAAATAATTAAGAGAGGGAAGGCACTATAATTAAGAGGAATTGGAAAAGAATTCCCACAGAAGATTGGATTTTAAATGGGATTTAAAGGATACCAGAGAACCCAGGAGGTGGAGATGAGGAAGGAATTCTTAGCATGGGAAATAGTCATAAGAAAATGCCCAGATCTGAGAAACACAGTGTCTTTGTGTGTGTGTGTGTGTGTGTAACAGTAAGGAGGCCAATATTACTAGATTGAAGAGTATTTGGCAGGGATTAAAGTCTGAGAAAAAGTTAGGAAAGAAAGGGAGATTAGTTTATGATGGACTTTGAAATGCTTGTGTTTTTTATATATAACTTTCTTTTTCTTTCTGATCCATTCTGCCATTTTCCTGCTTTAAGGGCAAATTCACTCCATTCAAACTCATGATTATATTTATTAACTATTTTTCCTTTCCATCATATTCTATTATAACACTTGTTACCAAAATTACTTTCCCAATGCCTTCTTACACCGACGTGCTTGCTCCTCAGAGGGCCTCTGCTGCAACTATTCTCAGTTTCTGAGAGTTTCTAGTACTGTTATCTCCCACTCGTATGCTTCCTACTAGCAATCAGTTAGACAATCATCTTTTTTTTTTAATCAAAGTTGGTTTAATAAAAGCAGTAGTGTTAAAAAAAAAAAGCCCTCCACGAAGTGCCTGAGGTTCACTCTCCCAGAAATATGCACATAGTGTATGGTGAAAGTAGACACATTCTGATAATTGTTTGATTACTGGAAGTACTTTTCTCCCTCTTCTGGATATGATTTAGGTCTCCAGTTATTCAAGTTACTGTAGAAATGACTCTTCATCATGAGACTCATTGTTATTCTGGTGGCATTAGAGTTGCTACCTATGAACTGTTTCAGGGTTTGGTCCCCAGACTACTTTTGAAATGGTTCTTTGATTTTTCCTTTATGTTGTTGCTGTTTTTTAATTGAATATGCCAAGCTATAGATTCTTTTTAGTTTATCCACCCTGTTCATTTATCTTTTGTTTCGTCTGGAGCATTTTCTTCTCGTTCTTGATGTGGTCATCTGGGTTGAGCTAGAATCTTTTACTTTACCACCTTTTACCAGAACTTAACTAGATTTTCAAACTATTATCTTGTCCTTATTTGTCCATATTTACTTCCTACTACCCTGTAAAATTATTACTTTCTTATTGTCCAGCTAATTTCCTTTCTGTCCCACGAATGTACAATTTTCCTTCCTTCCTCTGTACCTTCACTAATGCTGAACTAGTCTCAAAATCCTTCCACTTTCCTCTAAACATATATACCTCCTTTCCATCTTCATATTTCTCTTCTACAAAATCATTACTAACCTCTCTGGTCCCCCTTTCCATCTCTTATCTCTAGGATGACACAGTTTTTAATTCTCTAATACGTTATTTAGCACTTAGTTTTGAAGTCTTATTTCATGTGTTTTATGTTTTCTCTTTAAACACCATCTAAGTGACTTGCAAGTAAGAATCATATCTCCAATATCTTCTAGATCTTCCAGAGTTCTTGCACAATGCTAGATACAATCATAGTAATTGCTAGTACATACACACACACATGCATGTCTGTGTGTATGTATATATATATATACAATGCATATATATGCATATATATGTATTTACACATATACATATATGTATTTATATATGCATATATATATATATTTGTTGAATAGGTGTTGCATATGAGGAAGTGGGTATGATCTTTCTGGAATGCTTTGGTGCTATTTTTAGAGGCAATGAAAATCAGTGGAAAGAGCACTTAATCTGAAGTCGTAACATTTGAATTCTAATCTTGGCTTTACTGCTTACTAGCTATCTGAATTTGGATGTCACTTACCCTCTCTGGGATTGAGTTACATGTGAAATGAGTGGAGTTGGACTGGATAACCTCAAAGGTCTCTGCAAGGTCTAAAATGATCTTATGAAATGGAAGGTAAGAAGGCTGGAGACTTTGAAAAAAGCCTGAATCTGTAATAATAAGAATCTTATATTTCTTCCCAGGTCATCTTAAATCTGACTGCAATTTTTCTGTCCAATGTATCTAAGAAATGTTTTCTAATGAAGAAATCTTTGGAATTGTTTTCATCAACCAGATTTTACTTGGAGTCCTAGGGAATTCACTCCTCTTTTACCTTTACATATTCAATTTTATCCATGGTCGTAGGGGAAAGCCTATAGACGTGATTCTCATCCATTTGTCCCTTATCAATGTCTTGTTACTACTTTCTAAAGGAATTCCCCAGACAGTTGCACTTCTAGGAATAAGAAATTTCCTTGGTGATATTGGTTGTAAAATTATAGTTTACCTGGACAGAGTGTTTAGGGTCTTGTCTCTCTGCAACACAGGCCTTTTGAGTAGTTTCCAGGCCATCACTATCAGTACAAACATTCCAGTGTGGGTAGTGCTCAAAGCAAGGATTCAGAAGTACATCATCCCTTCCTTTATCCTCTGTTGGATCCTCAGTTTACTGACAGAAGGAGCTATTCCTATATATATGACTACACTTCTAAATAGCTCGAGTTTTATGAACAATTGGGATGCGGGCTATTGGGTTTTCAGTATTTATACTACAAATACTTATGACTTCATACTATGGAAATCCCTTTATGATGCTGTGTGGTGTGTACTCACAACATGTAACAGTGTATATATCATATTTGTCATGCAAAAACACCACCAGCAAGTCCTTCATATTCATAGTTCCAGCTCCTCCTTTAGAATGTCCCCTGAGAACAGAGCCACCTCTACCATCCTTATTCTTGTGAGCAGTTTTATCTCTTTTCACTTAGTCAGCTCCATCTTTTTTTATATATATATGTATTCCAAATTAAGTAGTTCCTGGATGATGCATGTCTCTGCTTTCATGACTGGGTGTTTTCCAAGTTTATGCCCCTTTGTGCTGATCAGCAGTATCACCAGGGTCTCTAGGACCTGTTTTTCTCAAAAATGGGAAAAAATACATCTCCACAGATTATGTTGATGTCCAAGAATTTGCTGGATTCTTCCTCCTCAGCCTGATCCTCATTCTAAACATTTTCAGTTGTAACAAGGAATTCCCTGTGAAGATTCCAATCTTGACCATCTAAATGGTCATGTGACACTAGTGGACTGCAAAGTGTTAAATGGAAACAGTCTTGCTTCTCTACAAAATTCACTGGCCTCCATACAGATGTTTGTATTACAGGACTGAAAATTGATGACTTGAGCTTTGTCATGATTTCTATTTCTTTTATTTAAAGTTTCAAGTATTGTAACTTATTTTGCCTACAATAAGGTTGCTTATTTCAATGGCTAAAGTTCTGTCTATCGAGAGGTCAAATATCCAAATGTTCAAATTTATTTATTTCTTTAAAATTTTTCTAGTTTGGTTTTTAGTGGGTCTAAAGTTGCTTTCAGTTTTCTTTTTAGTTGCATGCTCAATTTATGTCTGCCTTTGTTAGGTTAAAATGTTTGGAGATGTAAATTTTTCCATAATGAATGCTTTGGGTGAATCCCAAAAGTTTTGCTGTGTTTATTCATTGTTGTCATTTCCTTTGATGATATAATCTATTACTTCTATGATTTGTTCTTTGATCCACATATTCTTCAATATTTAATTATTTTAAAATAACTAATTTTTATATAACCTTTCAATATTTTCAGAGAATTTTACATATATTTTCTTACTGGATCCTCACAAAAAACCCTTTTAATTAAGTGTTTTTATTATCTCAGTTGCACAAATGAAGAAACTAAGGGTAGAAGTGGTTAAAGGATTTACCTAGCATCACAGACATAATAAGTTTTCATGCCAGGATTTGGCCTCTGGACTTCCTGACCCCACATCTGTCACTTTTTCTATTGCTACCTATATACATCACTCTAGTTTCCATTTATATTCAAATCCTTTCTTTAAATGGACCTTATTAGTCATATATTCACTGTAGCATGATTATAAAAAGATTTATTCATCATTTCTGCTATTCTGTATTTGTTAATGACAGTTTATACCCTAACACATGGACAGTTTTTCTAAGGTTGCATTGCAAAGCTGGATAATATTTCTACTTCTTTTTATTCTAATTCAGTAACTGTCAGAAAGTCATCATATGTACTATTTGTAAAATGCTATATATGCCTTTTAGCTTTCTTTTTTGCCTTTTTGTTAGATTATTTAGTTTTGACAGGGTGATATTAATGTCATTCATGCTTTTGGTTTTACTGTCTATTTCTCCCTTCAATTTAACAAGTTTATGCTGGTTCATACATATATGTTAAGTGCTATTATCACTTCATTATCTCTGATGATTCTATGTTCTTTACATTCTTTTTCTCTTTTAACCATGTTTTTATTTTTTCATTATTATCTTGTTTGAGATCATCATTGCCATCTCTGCCTTTCTGAATTCAATAGATGTGTAATAAGTTCAATGCCATCCACTCATTTTAACTCCGTAAAAATCTTCAAGTTTCAAGTGTATTTCTTATAAATAACATAATGTTGGATTCTGGTTTCTAAATAATTTTAATATCTTTTAATTATCAGATGAGTTTATCCTATTCACATTAAAAAATTTTGCAATCTCACAAAAAATTGTGTTTCAAGTTGGATGCTGAGGTCACAGAAGTGAAGATATTGTGCATAAACAGCAGAAACATTGTAATCCAGTATATTTTCTCCTCATTTTCCACTGCTTCTACTTTGCCCCTCAAAGTCTTAGACTATACTCCCTTTAAGCAGCTTTAAGCTTTAAGCATTTCCCTCTAAGTAGATTACTGACTTAATGTAATGATCAATCAGAAAATCATATCTGAAGTAAAAATTTAGAATAATATCAGATTACAATCCCACAAGATTTAACTCAAGTAACAAGTGTCACTAATCACATTTAAGGCTGGATGCAGTTATTATTACTCTTATGTTGTTGCAATAAATTAGCTAGCAATAAAAATTTATCAGTCCTTCCAAAAATCACTCAACATAATTTTCTTTCACTCATTCCACTTCTTTTCCAGTTTAAATTCATCCTGGTGTAAAATCAATCAATAAAACAATTATATCCTTTAATCTCACATAGATAATAAGAATATGATAATTTTTACTTAAAAAAATCCCTCAAAAATTGCAGTAATAACAGACCAATAGATATTAATCTCTTAAGGTATTGCATATTAATCTCTTGAACAAAATTTAACCCTTAAGACTGGAGTCTGTTAATACTAAGCTGGTTCAAGATGTAATTTTGAAATAACAGTCATCCTATGACATTCTAGGGGGTTAGGAGTACAGGATCACTATGAAAGTGAAAAACTGAATAACTCTAGGCCCCACATGAAACCTTCATTTTTAATACTTTTCATCATATTTATTTAACACAAAAACAAGTAAAATAGCACATTGTACTCATTAAAAAGTTGCAGTTTCTCTATGAGAGAGAAATTAGTATCTCATGCACTATACAGAGTCTTCATACCCACTGGAGTAATTGCAGCAACTGCTTCACAAATTTCCTTCTTCTATGAAAATTACAGGATACAAAGATTACTGTGGGAGAAAACTACATGACTGAGTCTGGATGGTTGACAGGCAAAGAAGAGACATTGCCAAAGAAAGTTCAAAGCCTATAGTTCTTTCTTTAGCACACTGAAACTTTTAACAAAATTATGTTTGTAATAAATTTATGTATGTATGTGTATGATAGTAAATTATTAAATAGATTAATAATATACAGTATTTCTACACTTATGACTTACTAATTTTTTTTTAGTTTTCTTTACATATGCATGTCAACTGTGATTTTCTACAGTACACTGCAAATTTCCAAGACTTCCCATTTAATTATCAATGGCCAACCCATAAATAACCAAAACTATGAATGTGAAAACCAAAAATGTTGATGGATGACTATATATAATTTTAAGCATAACTCATGAATTTTGTAGTTTATCATATAAATCAATTCTATACTATAAAAGGGCTCTTAAATTCATTCCCTTTTTGTCAAGGAGTGTTTGTAATGAAGAAAGTGATCTGATTTCCTGAATAAACCAATATACAAATCCTTTTACAGGACTGATAGTATTTTGTGACCTTGCTTAAGAAACTTGCCAGATTATATATAAGAAAAATTTTACAAAGTCTCTTTCCTCACTTTTTTTCTTCCATAAAGCAAGTGTTATTCTTCCCTTTAACTGATTAAATGTTCAATAGTTTTAACATTATGACAGAAGTCTCTAATAATTCAATCAATAATTTCATAGTATCCAATTAAACAAACCCAGGAACTATATAAACACAATTACAAAACACTTTTCACGCAAATAAAGTCAGTCAATAAATAATCGGAAAAACATCAGTTGCTCATGGGGAGGCTGAGCTAATATAATAAAAATGACAATTCTACCTCAACTTTCTGAAAAAAATGCTCTAAATCACTATTGATAGAGAAATGCAAATTAAAACCACCCTGAGGTATCACCTCACACCTATCAGATTGCCTAGTATGACAGAAAAGGAAAATGATAAATGTTGGAGAAGATGTGGGAAAACTGTAACACTGATGCATTATTGGTGGAGTTGTGAACTGATCCAACCATTCTGGAGAGTGATTTGGAACTATGCCCAAACGACTATAAAACTGTGCCTACCTTTTGACCCAGCAATACCACTTCTAGATCTGTATCTCAACGAGATCATAAAAATGTGAAAAGGATCCACATGGACAAAAATATTTATAGCAGCTCTTCCTGTGGCAGCAAAGAATTGGAAACTGAGGCAATATCCATCAATTGGGGAATGGCTGAACAAGTTGTTGTATATGAATGCAATGGAATACTATTGTGCTATAAGAAACAATGAGCAAGCGGACTTTAGAAAAACCTGGAAAGATTTGTATGGACTTATGCTGAGTGAAGTGAGCAGAATCAGGAGAATGTTGTACACAGGAACAGCCATGTTGTGCAATGACTAACTTTGATAGACTTAGCTCTTCTTAGCAATGCAAGGATCTAAGACATCTCCAAAAGTCTAATGATGGAAAATGCTATCCACATCCAAAGAAAGTACTGTGGAGTATGAATGCAGATTGAAGCATACTATTTGCTCTTTTCTTCTGTTTTGTTTTGTTTCCTATTTCTTGTGGTTCCTCCTAGTTCTACTTCTTCCTTACAACATGACTAATGTGAAAATATCTTTAATAGGAATGTATATGTAGAGCTTATATCAGATTGCATGCCATCTTGGGAAGGAAAGCAGGGAGGAAGAGGGAGAAAAATTTTAAACTCAAAAGCTTGTGGAAGTAATTATTGAAACTAAAAATGAATTAATAAAAAATTTAAAAATAAAATAAAATAAAAAGAAATTATTGTCCAAACAAAACAAAACACAACACAACAAAACAAAACATATTTCATTAAAGACCCAACCAGCAAAAAAGCAAAACATATACATAGGCTGAACCTGGATTTTGGATGTTACTACATATCCCTTTAGAGTGAGAAACAGAGGTAACAGGAATTGATAATAAGTTCTGACTAATTATGCCAATTGGAAAATATATCAAGCTGTAAATGAATTCACATAAGACAAATGAATCTTGTATTAAGGTTATGAGGAAATACACATAAGGGCTCACCAGTTTAAATTTACAACTGTTATTGTTAGGTCAGTTCAAAATGTTTTAAATAAATATTTATTATGTAATGTGACATTAATACCTGTTTGTAGAGCATTTCCCAAGTACAAACATATTTTATTACAAGATAGGTCATTTATTTATTTATTTTTGCTTAGGCAATTGTGGTTAAGTGACTTGCCCAGGGTCACACAGCTAGTTAGTGTCAAATGTTTGGGCTGAGGGCAGATTTGAACTCAGGTCCTCCTGACTTCAGGGCCAGTATTCTATCCACTACACTGCCTAGCTGCTCCTCAAGACAGCTCATTTAATATGCATTGTTCTCTGTATACAATTTGAAATTAATTACTTAATATATATACACATCTCATCCCAGGACTTTTTTACTACAATTGGAGTGACATTTGCAATTTGTAAGTAAATTACTTGTGTGCTAGAGGTCATCTACTCACAAAGATTGTTGTTATCTATGT